CTTTAGTGTTACCAAATGTTTATGTACCTGTTAGCTGAAAATGAAAGCAAATCTCACTCGTGACAGAAGGAGGCATACGAACATTATCATAAGCAACACCAGTTCTCTCCATCAAATACTGATACTTCCAGAGAGTAGAGATAGCAAACGCCACTGAGACTATTGTTCTATGGAAGTGGACATTTATTCTGGAAAGCCACCATCTGCTTGATTGGGGTGAACTCCTCCTAATGGGCATATTGCATATGGTGAAGGAACCTTTTCCCTGAAACAAGTTATCTGACCAGAATGAAAGCCCTTGGCTCAAATGGTTGTAGAAACTTCTATAAGCAGACCACAGTTTCATTTTGGAATTTTTAGTTGGCTTGGGAACTGTAAACATAACATGTGGCAAGCTTCCCGCTTACTGTGCTCTAGGCACAGGAACAGGCCCTGCTTGCCTGTGAGCAATAGAAGAGGCAGATGGTAGGTGAGCTGGCTCTCACTACTCAGTGGTACAGTGGCCACAGGATGAAGGCATGCTTGGCAGACTTGATTCAGCCCACTGAGGAGGTTACAGGAAAGCCTACAAGACACAAAAGGCTGAGCACCATTAGGGGGTGCTTTCTACACACAGCCCTACTGTGTTCACATTTTTTTTAACTGGAGACAATGATATTTTTTCAGTCCTCTATGTGACTCTCCCACACAGTTCTAACTGTTTGATCAATTAGCCAAGAGAACCTCACACAGCAACTCCTTTGATATTGACCCTAAGCTAGATTTACTGCTAAAAAACAAAACAAAAAAAGCCCAAAAGACAAATTTGTTCGGGCAGTGCTTCCAATTCCCAATTAATTAGAAGTGCATTTTTTTTTGTAACATTATAGAGTCAAATTGACACTTAACTGTCCACATTTCTGCTATTAGTTAAAATGTACATGAAAATGGATCCCAATCAAGTTTATTCTAAGGAAGTTAAGTATCAATCGACTGGGGAGAGGACGGGGTGGTAGAAATAACTAAGTGATTTCACGGGCTCTCTGCTTCGGCTATCATCAGGCTCAGCGTGGGTCAGTGTACAGTCACTACACAAGAAGGCAAGTGCTCCCACCTAAGGGTTTACAAAGGTCTGGATAAACCACACAGCCTTTGTTCACAAAATGGCCATTTGGACACCTAGAAAGTGAGTGACATTGAGATGAAACGAGCAGCTTGTCAATGTTTGATTTCACAACTATAATCTACATATTAGACACAAAACAAGGACACAGGGTGGATATTTAAAAAAGCCTGGGTGACAAGGAAATTCTTATTGCTCAACTCTGTGCCTTGCATCTCAAGGGAACAGGTATCAGTAATTCTTTCTCTGATATTTGGTCTTTAAGTGAAGTTTTCTTCTAGGGCAGCAGACACAAGCTGCTTCCTTCCTTAATGAGTCTGAGTTCACACCAATACAGCTGTGCTAAGGGATATATTGCCTGACTTTAGGGGAAAAACAATAACAACACACACACACACACACACACACACACACACACACACACACACACACACACACACACACACACACACCTACCAATACCAGATATTTGGAGCCAGAGTTCCTCAATATGTACTGGGGATTTCAGGCAGGGCTTCAGGGCCACATGGCTTGGGCAGCTGGGCATGAGAACCTGTTTCCTCAATGACTAAGATGTCATAAAAGCTGAGAGGTTACATTCTTCTTCCAAAGCAGAACTTGCTTTGAATGTAGAAAGAAAGCAGCAGTGAGTGACCACAGAGCCATGAGCAACCAAAGAACCCTATCAAACTCTGCAAACTACCCCAGATGGAAAGGGATTACAGAGTGACCCAGATTTCTCTGCCTATCAGTGCTTCCTTGCTCAGCAGCAAACTAACAGTGGAGAGGGCTGCTAGAATACACATACAAGAAGAACACACCACGTACAGGTAAAATTGTTTTGTGCAGTGTTTTTACTAAGAACAAAACATATGCACACATGAGCTATGGCATATGAATTGCAAAATTCCATTGATTCTAGATGATGAGTTGAGAGCTTATAGATTTGCTATCAAGTTAGTATTATATAATTTAGAATGATAAAAAAATCAATGCCAAAAATTTAAAATTTAACACTCCTTTACTTTGAGTGATGATAAATAGAAATCACTGGAAGGCAGCAGAAAAACGGATAGTGCTTTATACTTCAGGACCTTTCAAGGCGCTTTCTCCTCTCTTTAAAGAGGAGCATCACATACTCGGTCCTCATTGGTCAGGTTAAGCCACTGGCACTAATCAACATACATCCAAGGGGTCTGCACAGGCTTGTAGGGTGGGGTGGCACCTACACCCCTTGCCTACCCACTGTCTACTGGGCAGCCCTGGCTGGACCCTCTAGCATGCTGTGCTAAGATGAGAATTCTGAGGTGCATGCAAACTGGAAGTCTGAGAAGCTTATTTGGGGGTCACCTAGAATGCTATTCCTACCATGGCTGACTTTTTGGTCCATCACAGGCAACCTGTTAGATCTGAAGATGTACAGGATTCATGCAATAATATGTACCGTCCCCCACCCCCCACACCCTAGAGCACTGAATCTTGGGTCCTTTGCCCAGAATGTCACCTATGCTTTTGACGACAGTTTCCTTCTCATTCTCCAATCTCTGCTTTAGAGAGGGCCCCCTTATCCTGATTCTTGTTCACCCCAACTCTCAGTTTCACTTGTTCTCAGAAGAGAGGGGAACCAGTCAGCTTGAGCACTCCTTAGGTTTCATTTCTAAAATGTGTGCACAAGGACTTGGCTCCTGGATCCTTGCTGTGCTGCGGTAGCCCTAGCTTCTAGCATGGAGTTGGCAGACAGTTCAGGAACTGTTTGTTTGGTAAATGAAGAAATGCAATTAGCACTCAGAATTAGGACTGGTTAGAATATTCAGTGTTTTTCAGAATTCAACTATATGAATATATGAAGCAGTGAATTCCAGTATCAGCTATGACACTGAAGTAGTCCAGATGTTCCCCAGAGCACTCTGAGGACTTCAATGTTCTAGTGAACATTACTGGAGCAGCTGACACAGGCATCTGGATATAGTTGTAAAACTTAGTGAGGACTTTAAAGTACAAGAACCTCTCTTTTATCCCTCCCATTTTGATTATATTCCTTATTTCTGACCAGAGTATTAACAGTTTTGCAGACAGAAACAGTCACTGTATGATCACAAATTTTTTCTCACATGACTACATCTGGATAAAAATTTGTTTATATCATCTGATTTACTGTTTTAGATTAATAACAAATTAATTAAAGAATATATAGAAAAGTATTTCAAACTTTATAATGATCAATATAATAGGTCTTGCTATTATTTTTTCCTTCCTTTTAATATTAAGTTGTCCTCTAGGATGTCAAATCATTTTTTTGTGAGCTATTTTTGGGTACCGGCACCCACAGTCATGATATGATTTCCTTGAGGTTTTTAAGGAGATACTGATCATTATCTTTCCAACTTTTAAAAATACTGTTTTCCCTAAATCTGACTGCTCCAAAGGTACCTAGTCACCATTCAGCAAAATGGCAAAGCATTGATGTTGTGATGTGCTTGATAAGTGGAGAGGGTGGCAGGATTAAAAACAAAACAAAGCACAGTGGACTTCTACAAAATAGGATGCTCTTGTTTTCAAAGGACTCTTGTTGCCTTGGTCCAGCATCCTTTACAGACAGGTGTCTAGCTCATCCCAGCTCATATGTCAACTGACAGATCAGTTGTTGGATAGGTCTTTTTCATTTTTGTCAAGAAGTTCCTATAAGCTGCAGTTTGTGTGAAATAAAAACTCCATGCTGGAAGAGAAAGTGGCAGCAGCTATAGATTATGTCTGGGGTGTTCTGGAAGTCTCTGCAGTGAGTGCTACCTCCAAACACTCCCCACCAGCCTGGACAAAGAGGGAGAGTGTGCTGGAGGGAATAATGCAGCCTGGCCCCAGGGGAGGGACCAGATGGGACCTAATAGCTCTTTTCTACTACTAATTTCTATGATAATTTTAAGTTGCCACATGGCATATGTATTTTTAAAATCTAAAGGCAGGATATTAGTCAACCGAATGACCAATATTTTAATAAAAGGTAAGTCACAAACTGTATCTCTTTACACGTTATTTTTCACTCTCCATCTACCCACTAATAATACATCACTTATAATTAGGCTGAGAGAAGTCTATGGAGAGAGGTCAAATAGAATGTGTTCTTAATCATTATCAATAGCAATTAGAAACAAAGAAATTCTAAGTTTTATTAGGAAGTCAGATGGTTTTTGTAGTGGTTTTACGACATCACTCATCTTAATCTTTTTCTTTTCTTATAGTTAGAAATCACATGTGAATTTAAGGATACACATGCCAATTAATGCTTGAAAGAAAAATTAGAAACATGAAATTTCTTCTGTTTTCAGAGATGAGGTCAGGGATTAAAAGAAGAAATATTAATGATTGGAGAAAATTACAAAAAGAAAATTCTTTCCACTCTTACTGATGACTCCAGATACAACTTGATTCAGGGACTCCCTTCGCTCTCCTCTCTGCTAGGTGTAATTTCTCTTTCCTTCATTGTAGTCGGAACATTCAGAACTCTGCATTTCTCAGGTGTGGTGTACAGTTTCTTGTTTATTAGTCATTTCATTTGCTTTTGCTTTGTGGTGCTCTGAATGAGACTTGCAATGATTTGCTCCATATTCCTCTTTCTACACAGCGGGATGTGACTTGAGATAGAAAAAAAGACTGACTCTGGGGAAAACCCCAGAAGCCATGAGCTTGAACATCATGACAGTCACAGCCTCTCAGACAGACTCGTGAGCAAACTAGGAAAACAAATTCTATATTCAATGCAGCACAATATCACTGTATTTCATAGAAATCAACAAACAGCACCACAGCCTGGGCCTGAAGCCCACTTACCTCTCCTGAAAGCTTGCCAGGAATCCTACCCTGGGGACAGTTAATAAGTTACATATGGACAGCAAAAAGATACAAGCTCTGATAGAGTGGGATGAGGCACTTCACCGCTCTGCTGGCATTGATGCACGTGGCACAGATAAGGCTTGGCAGCAGCTTCCTACTCACGATGGCTCCATCGAACAGAGGCCCAAAGAACGGAACCTAGGATTCATAACAGAAAAACTACGTTCAGACCCAGCAACAGTTAGGGCAGAGATTAGAGAACTGATGCTCTATGTGAAAAGACTGGGGATGAACACACAGGCTGTCACCCAGAGCAAGTTAAGAGCTTTCAAGTCAATGAGCACAGGATTGTCCCACTAGGCTTTTCCACGAGGACTTCCTATAAGGCCTTTTAAATGGCAAATTATGAAGTTTCCCCCTACTATCCTGCACTGTCATTCACAGAAGTGGCATTATTCTTTCTACATGCCTATGCTAGGGAAAAAAGCATGGTACACAGATGTACTTCCTGCCACTCTCCTATTAACAGTCTTCATTTTCTTAATTTTCCATCCTCTGCTTCCAAGATCCTGCATCATCCTCACTCCCTTCTGCTTTTAAGAGAGGCTTGGTTTTCTTTTGCTAGATCCATTTCCATCATGTGGGCAAACCATAGTGTTCATGGATGTCTTTTTTGGATTTCTTTCTTTTCTCTTCCTTTCCCCTCTATTAGAATTTCATCAATTCTACTCACTAACATGGAGGCTGTCAGCTCTGTGAGATTTGGAACTGGATCTGGCTAGTAACTCTTATATACACCTACAATTTCTCTTGATTTTTCATTAATTTGCACAATATTTATTATGATAGACCTTTTATTCTAATCTATTCACTAAAGGGGCATGTGAAACACACACACACACACACACACACACACACACACACACACAAAATTTCTGCTATAGCCTAACTCCAAGTTTATTACAGATTTCAGAAAACAAACAGTTAAACAATTACAGTATATGATGTGTAAAATAGAAGATAATGCAGAGAAGAGCAAAGGACTTTTGGGTGGATGTGTATCTCCAATTTTATTGAAATGAGAGGGAGGGCTTTAATGAAAGACGTTTCATGGCAACTCTACAGGAGATGGAGGAATGGACCAGGAGAGATGAGGACCATGGATGGAAGGACATTCCATGAAGATCAACAGGTGTCCAGCTTGTGACAGGAATGGGACTGGCACATTTAAGCAAAGGCAGGAATCACAGTTGCCAGAGCCACATTATTAGAGGAAAGACCAGGAGGAAGAGAAGTCAGGAAGGAAACAAGAAGAGCTTTGTAAGAAATTGTAAGAATCCTCAATTTCTACTCTAAGGAAGAAAGAAGCCTTCTAGAGGGTTTTGGAGAAGTGGAGAACACCATCTAACTTTCATTTGTATGTGTGTGTGTGTGTGGTATGTACACATGTTTGTGCATATACGTACAAGTGCACATGAGTGTGTATGCATGTAGAGACCAGAGATGGACATTGGGTGTCTTCCTCAGTCACTCTCCACCTCGTTTTGTGGAGACAGGGTCTCTCACTGAGCCTGATGCTCAATTAGCAATAACAGTAAGTATAAGTGGAGTCACAATGATTCAGGTCAGTAGTCCCAACAACTTGGGAGGCTGAGGTGGAGGACCATGAGTTAAAAGCTAGTCTGGGCAATATTGTCAATATATATCAAAAAACTCCACACATTCCACATGTATAGAGAGAACAACTCTAACAAAAGATGTGCAAGACATATATGCGGTGGGATGTTCTGTATGCTTTGAATATGTGTTGCTCTGATTGGTTGATAAATAAAACACTGATTGGCCAGTAGCCAGGCAGGAAGTATAGGCAGGATAAGCAGACAAGGAGAATTCTGGGAAGAGGAAGGCTGAGTCAGGAGACGCAAGCCTGCTGTCCAGGAAGCAGCATCTAATGGCACACAGGTAAAGCCATTGAACATGTGGCAACATACAGATTAACAGAAATGGGCTGAGTTTAAGTGTAAGAGCTAGTCAGTAGTGAGTATGAGCTAATGGCTGAGCAGTTTTAGTTAACGTAAGCATCTATGTGATTATTTTATAAAAGGCTGTGGGACTGTGGGTGAGAGATTTGTCCTGACTGTGGGCCAGGAGGGACACAGAAAAACTTCAGCTACACATATATACTTAAAATACCCAAGAGGGGTAACATAAATTCATGGAAACCTGAATAAATTCAAAGTACAATCTTCATGGGCTGGAAGTTTCAATACTGTTTAAGATGTCAATTTTTCTGGAATCAAGATTTAGATTCTAACACAAACTCAACTAAAATTCTGAGTAGACATGTATTAGGAGCTTCTAAATTCATACAGAAATGGAAAGATAGAAATTAGCTATGACGGTAATGAGATGATTTATATTATTTGACTTCAAGGAATAATATAAAATTACAGTAATTAAGATATCAGAACAGTGGTATCAGGATAGATAAATTGACAAAACAAAATATACTGCCAGAGAATAGAGTCACACATTTACAGCAACTATTTGACAATAAGGCACCACATTAATTTTATTGGGAAAAGGAAGTTTATTTTAATAAAAACTCTGGAACAACTAGATAGCCATATGAAAAACTGAACCCTGACCTCCATTTCATACACAAAATGAGCTGGGTTACAGACAGAAATATTAACACTAATCCTTCAAAGAGGATGACAAGATGGTTCAGTGGGGAAGGGCCCTTGCTGCCAAGTCTGATGACCAGAGTTGACATCCAAAACACACCCTAGATTTCTGCAAGTTTTCCTCTCACTTCCATGAATGTGCCATGGCATGCCCAACACACATACACAAATAATAAAATTAAAAATAAAAAACCCCTAAAACTTCTAAAAGAAACATAAAAAATCTTTACAACAGTGGATAGACAAAGACATTAGGGCGCAGAAGGCATTGATCATAAGAAAAACAGAAAATTTACCCATCTTATTGGGATAGAGATTTCCATCACTCATGAATATGTTTCCAAATCTTTCAACAGAATACCAGGGAAACAATTAAACAGTGTGCCAGAATAATAGAACATCATGACCAAGCTAGATACACCACAAGAAGGTATGTGTGAGTCTCCATTAAAAATTAGTGTGTATACTTAAAAAACATTAATGTATTAAATGAGAAAAGTAAGACGATCATTTCAGAAGATGGTTTTAAAATAAGTTTCATTAAATTCGAATTCTATTTATAAAAATTTCTTAGCTATCGAATAAAAAGGAACTTGTTAGGCATTTGAGTATCGCCACTCTTATGGCCTGCTGCTCGTGTATTCTGTCCTGTTTTATAGCTGTGCTTTGAATAGTTTCCTTGCTACTTTGCAGGACAAAAACAAAAAAACAAAAACAATTTGCACTAAATTGCATCTACTAAACTATGGCAATAGCGAACCACTGAAAGGCTGCTATGTGAGAGTGAATGAGAGAAGAACTTTTCATTGGTGAGTTTTGCCAGGATAGGAGAGAAAGAAGGGGGGGTGTGTGGATATTATGAGTTGGAAGGAAAGAATCAAAACTGTTATTATTTCAATTGTTAGATTATTATATGATTATGTAGTATAATTATAATAAAGGGCCTATGGGAAATGGTCAAAACTAGATGTCAATAGATAAAGAATGGACTCACAAAACTACTTTTCTATCCTCAGCAACAACTGTTCAGAAAAGAAAATGATAGCATATATTATCATGATTATTATAACATCATAAAATATGGACTTCAGAAATCTTGTAGGTCATACAGAGAAAAGAAAAATCACAAAACCTTCAGAGAAATAATCTAAGCAAATGAGATGATCGAGCTCTCTTGCGTAGATCTGCTCTATCTGACAAGAAGACTCACCATCACTATCACTTCCTCTTACAGATTCATTCAAGGACTCAGTGCAGTGCATGGTACAGAGATGACAGAGGTTAAGGGAAGTAAAGACATTCCTTAGGAAGAATGGGGTAGGGGCTTGCTTCAGCTGTAGGAAAGCATGCTCTAAACTGTAGCATAAGACAAGATACTAGAGCAGTTCACACAGGACCCATGGAGCCAAAGGGAGGAGTCACACTTTCTTTTGCTGTATGATGATCACTGAAAACTCATTTATGGAGCTACTTGGGACCTATGACCCTGTGAGGTGGTGATGCTGACTTGTAAGATGTGGCATATCCCAGGAACCAGTGACTCACAGGAGGGTGGTAATTCTTTTGTAATTAGAAACTGAAGTCTACGTCTAAGGAGACAGGCGGGGCAGGGCCTTCCACTTTACTCTAGTTCTCCTGTTCCTCTGCTGTCTGTCTGATTTCTTTGGAGAACTCAATGCAGTAGCACCCCTACTAGAAGACATGGCGTTCTCTCCAATGGCTACTGGCCACTTGGGGCTCTGGGATCACTGTACACTGAGACAGACAGTAAAGAAGGGTATGGGTGAGTGACCCTACCCAAGGGAAACAGTGCTGCTGTTGCACAGTGGGGACAGGAACCAGAAAGCTCCTGGGGCGCCCCCTCCTGGTCTCATACTCAATGGTGCAGTTAATGAAAGGTATCATCTGGAGTCCTGATCAGAACCGGGATTCAAATGGTTCATCCATCTAAACCTTCTGAACAACTCTTGGATGTCTTATCCGAGTATGGTGACCAAAGCCTAGGTACTAAGATTTTCCATGACTGTTAACAAACTGGTTTTCCTTACCAGCTAGCTGCAAGATGAAGATACTTATGGTGTGCCTGTCATGTCTTCCAAGACTAAATGATACACAGCTCTGGCTGAGGACAAAAGCATGCATCTAGAAAGTACAGCCCAAACTAATTTATACCCTTCAGGCTGGGGTGCAGAGCAGGACATTTTCACATCCAAGTTCTCTTACTGGCCAGCTGTGAACACAAAGGCAGCTTTTTGCTGAGAAGTAGTGATTCCGAAGTTCATGGCACCTGTTAACACTGTCAAGCACATTGGCCTAAGGGTGTATCCAGTTAGCTAGGGCGAGGACAATATTTGGGACAAATCCCCATTGGATATATAAGAACTAATCCCCAAGGACTCAGCTGGAACATTTTGATGCTTCCAACCAGAGCTGGGCAAATGCTTCACAGACAACTCTGAGCTTTTAGAACCAGACTATTGCCAGTATGGGCTTACTGAGATCCAGTCCATG